TGTTCTCAGTCCTTCTGCTTATTGTTTCCGACAAGGAATAAACTGAGTCTGAGTCTCGTATTTATATGCCAGATAGCATTTCATGAGGTCGTTTCATTGACCATTTATGGTTAAAAAGGGGCGTGTACAAGGGCGGAACGTGGAAGCTGATTCAGCTGTGCACATTTGTAGGCCTCTGTGATTTATAAAAGCAAAGATTGCTTACAGGTGGCGACACAGGTGTATAATCTGAAATATTTGGCGCACGCAAAACTTGGTGGCATACCCGGACATCTTTAGTAACCGACTCCCACGCACAGTTTTATAAATGAACCCCAGCATCTGTTTGGTGAAATAACCCTTAATTCAACCGATGTAGTGAGAAAATACTTGTGAAAAGGACAACGTAACGCTAATGTTAATCCTTGGGGACAAATCCCCCGTTGATCTTGAGCAGAATGTCCACAGACCTCATCCTCTGATCTCCCGGTAGATGTTCTGGCTAAGGGGAGGTAAATATCTAACTCGTTGGGGACGAGCTCTTACCTTTTCCACCGTCCTGTCACTGCAGTTTTTCTGGCAATGAAACTCCCGGGCACTCCGACGGCTGCAGACATCTTCTGCTCAGCAGCTGACAGCAGCGTGAACTGCAAACAACAAAACCAACAGTTCACAGCGACGTAAAACGTCCCCAGCGACGTACAAGCGTCCCAACGCGACTGTACAACGTCCCACAGGCGACTACGCGTCCCACAAGCGACTGTACAGCGTCCCACAGCGGACTGTACCGTCTGAAGTACGTCACGCAAGTCTGGCTTGCAGGCGAGATCATGTCGTAACGGCCGTGACCAGGTAGACAGGGGCAGGCAGCTGTTGAGCAGCAGACCCTCCCAGACCTTTGAAGAGGTCCTGACAGGATGCCGCTGAGGTCAGATCCCTGACCTGAGGAGGACCAAACCAGCCAACAGCAGCCTGTGAGGCCACAACAAACAACAACAACAACAACAACCTCTAACTAACTGATTATTTTATTGATCTGTCTATTTCTGATGAACATTGCAGCTGTGACATTAACCTTTATACTAGCTTTCCCAGCGCGGTGACCTGCCAGAGTCTGACGTTGAGTCTTCCTGTCACAGTGATAAGATCTTTGCTCCTCAGGAGGTACGACGCTCTGTTGAACCGCTCACCGGCAGAATCTTGTCCACACACAGCCTGCTCTGTGGACGACAGCAGCGCCCACACAGGAATCCCTCCAGCTTGGTCCGGCCCCGACGTGGGATCATGTGAGAAACAAGCAGGCCCATGATGGTTGTTCCCAGGGTGGCGTGCTCAAGGTGACACGAGAATAAAACAGAGGGTTTACATTCAGTCCCCAAGAGGGAACAGATGAGACTCAGGAGGCCCTTTCCATCAGGACACAAGGTCTGTAAACAGTTCTCCACCGGCCGAACACACCATGTGTTTAGCCTGAAACAAACAAAACAGGAAGAGTTTCATCCCAATGTTATATATTATAATTATATAAAAAAAAAAAAAAAATATACATGTTTCCTTCTTGTTCTTCAGTCACCATGATTCTGCTTTTTCTGGAGATGAGGGAATGCTCCTCTCCCCTCAAACCGGTGTCGAGTGCCGGCACCGCCGGCGCGTTCCAACCATCTGTTGTACGGCTCCTCTTAGGAAGTCTTGGCCACGAACGGCAGAGCGACAGAATCCAACTCCTGTAGGACATCAGAGAGGCATCACGACGTACGCTGATCAGCATTAGACGGGTTGAAAGGAAACTTAAAGCAACATTATCCCCTCCCAATTAGGCATTATAGGAAACTGTCAAACCCAGGGTGTTGGTTTTGTTATGTTTCAGCCCATTTAACTACAAATCAAGAATGCTTTATTTATACAGTATATATATATATATATACACACACACACACATATACACATATATACAGAGATATATTGACACTGATGATTTTTATAAAGTCATATAATTCAGTTTACAGCCCAAAAACTCTTGAAGCAACATATATTAAAACTGTCAATATGTTTATATGGTAAAAAGCAGTTGCCATTTAGGGGATGTCATCAGCTGAGACTTCGGTACAGCATACAACTGATCTAATCTGCCGTTAATGCCACAGGAAGAAGAAGAACGGCGACCAGCACTGAACATGTTGACGGCTCCGCCTCAAACGGGTGGAAAGAAAAAACTTTTTCACATCTGAACTCTGAACAACTTGAAAGGCGTTTTCTCACGTTGGTTTTGGCGCCTGCAGAGCGGCAGCAGGAGTAACGAGGACTGTTGGTATCAATACAAACACCCAACTGTGGCAGAGAGACGGCTACGTGCTACTGCTGCTGTCTGTATCATTCAAATGTTTTTAATAAAGGACTGTATGGAGTGTTGGGATGGTGACCAGATAAGTTCATTTAACTTAAAAAAATGTGTAAGTTAATAAAACATCTTTGATTAAACAGCTTTTGTAATTTTTATTTGTCCTGTAAAAACAAAAGTAAAAAGTTCTTAATCAGGAATGTTTCTCTAACTTAAACTAAGTTAGGGTTAGCTTCTTTTCTGACAGATTCGGTGTTTTCTTGTCTCTGACGTTTGTTCTATTAAATCTACTTTACATTTTCTGTTTTCTCAGAAGAACCAAATGCTGACATACAGACCTACTGTGACGCCCCTCATGGAGCTTTGATGACCCCTAGTGGAGGAACCGTTGTTCTGGTGAACCTGCCCGGTACTGCAGCACTGGTTGGGAGCCACTCAGTGCCTCAGTGACTGACTGTAACAGCTGTTGGTGGTTCTGATCTGAGCTTCCGGCTGTGTGAGCCTGTTCCATACAACCTGCAGTGTATCTGTGGCTCACCTGCGGGCAGGTAGGTTGATCCCAGCAGCCAGGGTGGAGGTGCAGGTGAGGAGGCAGAGGACCCCGCTGGAGTACGCCTCCTCCACCAGCTTCCTCTCCTCGGAGGTCAGCCCGCTGTGGTGGTAGGCCAAACCGTACGGCACCGTCCTCCGGAGCACCGGGCACACCGAGCCGTTCCCGCTGTCCCGCAGCTCGCGGAGGAGGACGGCCTTCTCCGCCTCCCGGTGCCGCAGGAAGTCCCTGAAGGAGGAAACACAGAGTGAGTGGAGGTTGGCGGCGGCGGCGACGGCGGCGGAGGGAGCACGGTCGGACAGGTGACGTACTCTTTGAGGTATTTACAGATCATCCCTGCGACGTTCTCACAGTTCTTCTTGGTGGGACAGAAGACCAGACAGGACTGAGCTGGGATCACTTCAGTCACCAGAGCGATGAGGTGATCCGGGTCCAACTTCTGCATCCCGCTCGAGTACTGAGGTCAGAGGTCACAGAGGTCACAGGTCTGTTACATCATTATATATCAGACTGCTGTTCATTATGTAAATAAATGGCTTTCAAATATGGAAATGTTGTTTCTGTTACAGACTGATGCTAACCTGCATGTGCTGGACAATTAGCATCATTATCATTAATAATCAGCTATACAGACAATATCTCAGCAATACAGGAGCTTCTGGGGTTATTGAGGATGAGAATCCATTTCTGTTTAAACCAGAGTCCATATTTAATCTCCCAGTGGCTGATTGTGATTCATTTTGAGGTTATTAATAAGATTAATATAAAGCAGCAAAGACACCGGTCAAAAAGACAAAACAAAAAGAAAACACAGCGGTCCAATGTGTATCATTGAGGCATTATACTGTAAACTGATGTATACGGGAATAAAATCATTGTTTATATTGGTAATAATAAGAATTGTAGATAATAATTTATAGAACAGTATATTTTATCTTTTTAGTCTGGCCTGTATTCTTTGGTTTATCCTTTTCTAATTCTGTCTCCAGTGTTTCCTCTGCGTTTGAATTTAGGGTTTTATTGTTCACAAAGACACTTATAAATAAAGTCTGACTGATTGATTGATTGATTGATTGATTGATTATGTTTACGTCTCCCTCTGGATGTTGTTCTTACTTTAAAGTTGAGAAGACGTGAGAATCTGAAACAGTCCTCTTCCTTCGGGTCCACTTCGTAGATCGTGTCCTTCAGTTTCACAAACTCCTTCAGCTGAACCTGAACAGAGAAAAGTTTCACTACAAGTTTCATCTCTCAGCGAGTAAACAGCTGCAGTTAGTTTTCTATGAATGAAATGTTTAGATATAGACTGTGGATACACTTACGAGAAGTGACGTAATTTCAAAAAGTTTATTTGTACTGTGAAAAAAAAACCCGACTTAATCGAGAATATGTTTTAATTTACAAAATTGAGTTTTTGTAACTTAAAATGTTCAATGTAAATAGTTTAACAAATATTTATTTTTAAGTTAAAATATTTAATCACATTACATTATATTGTTAAATATGGCAAGTTCCTAAAAGTAACAGAAAAACTCATCTCTGATCAATAATCTGCTCAACATTCATCCAAATCTCTGGTTTTACACAAACTTCCTGCAGTTATTGAGTTCACTGTTTGTGTTCATTGTTCAGTTGATCAGCTGTTCTGTGTTGGTTGAATTCAGTCAGTTTACTCAGTGACAGACGAGCTCCCTTAAGGAAACCGGCTGGGAACCACTGGCTCTATTTAACAGTTAATACTCTTACAGGTCTGAAGTCGTTGGTGTAATTTTCCGCCCTCAGAAACGTCTGCAGGTCTCTGATGTTTCCCAGCGTGGCGCTCATTCCAATAATCTGAGTGGATTCTGGAAACAGAGTGAAAGGATGCATTAATAAGGTTTTAAAGGTTCAACAGGCTGACTGATTGAAGTGAAACTTACTGCTTGTGTAAAGAACTTTGGCCAGAGTCATTTCAATAACTGCCCCTCTGCTGCCGTCACCCAGCATGTGAAGCTGCACACAGAAGAACAAACGTTGAGCCTCCGACCTTTACTTTCATACTTAAAACCTTTATTCAGACTGTACCTCGTCCACCACCACCAGCCCGAGGTTGTCCACCCTGCCGCTCTCTATCAGAGAGTTGACCAGGCTGTGGGCTTTCTCTATCGTGGCGATGTACAGCGACGCCGTGTTTCTTCTCTTCACTGGAGGGAACCTGCCCTTGCTGCCGGCGTACTCCTCCACCATGAAGTCCAGCTCCAGGCCGAAGCTCGCCAACCCACGAACCTGCACAACAACACAGCTGAGAAGGTTGGGAAAGGAGTTCCACAAGGCTCTATTCTGGGTCCTTTAAAGCAGCGGTTCCCAAGCTGCTTCCTTAAGGGACCTCTTTTATATCACAGAATAAACTGATGAGCGCTGAGTAAGTGACATGTTTTATATTCTATTGATCAATAACAGCAGAGAACAGCTGATCAACTGAACAATAAACACAAAAAGTGAGTTCAATGACTACAGGAAGTGTAAAACCAGACATTTGGATGAATTTTGAGCAGATTATTTCCTGTTTAGGGAACTCTTTAAACAATTCTGTCTGTATTATGTATTTAATTTTTTATTTTTAACAATCACACAAACTTAACAGACAGATTCAGTGTTTTCTTCTCCCCGAAAGTTTAGATAATAATCTAAACTTGAAAAATAAAATGTTTTCTTACATCCCTTAAAATCAAATTAAGCTTTGGCGACCCCTTGTGGGGGTCCTGACCCCCAGGTTGGGCCACACTGCTCTAAACATAAATAATATCTCATCTGCCACATTGTAAAGTTTATTTCTATGCAGATGACATCACTTTATATTCGTCTTCTCATGTGGAGTCTGAAAAACAGATCTTAATGAGTTTGTGTGCCAACTGTTCAAATATTGATTTTATTGTTTATTTTTTATGGTCTTTCTTTGGTCACCGTACCTTCTCCTGCACCAGCGATATGTACGGTAAGATGAACAAACAGTCCTTCTTCCTGCACAGCAGCTCTCTGAGGATGAGGATCTCTGCAACCAGAGTTTTCCCTCCGCTGGTGGGAAGAGAGTAGATCAGGTTCTTCCTCTGCTGAACGCAGTCCAAGTTCAGACACGTCTCCTGCCAGTCTGAAGAAATAAAGTAAACTGTTGTTCTCTGTTTGAAGGTACATTAACTTAAAGAAACAGTTTGGTAACTTGGGAATTACTCTTTTGAATAAATGATTAGTAGGAAAATATAAAAATATCAGGAAACAGTGAAACATTTTCACACGAAAGGATCCGACCAACAGTCCAAAACTCAACGAGACTCAACTAAACATCAGATCCTCACATTATAAAAGCTACAACCTTATATCTTTATTTTACCTGAGTTTAATGAGCTAATTACACAAACATCTCTGTATATTAGTACTTGGACCAAAAAGTATTTGGGTGGAATGAACCTTTAAACCTACAATAGATAGCAGTATTTGAGTAGGTGGCGCTGTAGTGAAAAGGGGATCCTAGTTGCTTTTAACGATTAAGAAATTATGAATTATTTTGCTGCGTCACCATATAAAGTCTTGATTCCTCTCAGTTTGTACATCAGGTCTTTCACTTTGGTTGGGAGTCCGAAGAACGGCCCGAGGTCGGTGGTCTCTGCGGATACGGTTTCCATGGCCTGCATGGCGACGCTGATCTCCTCTGAAACCACTGCTTCCTTCAACACGACAGTCCGTGAAACGCTGGAGGGAGACGCTGCGTTACTGACCATCGTCCTCTTCAGCTGCTCCGTCACGCTCCTCCTCGCCCTCGCCGGCCTCTTGCTTTTATCCTCCGCGTTTCCCGCCACAAACGTCCCACCAGCGTCTCTCAAAGGCGTGGAGGTTTTATCTCCGTCCTGCAGTCGGCTCCTCTTCGCGTTCTCCACCTGTTCCTGAAACTGTTGCTGGCTGGGCGGTAATTCCTCCAGGGGTTCGTCCCCGAGGGCGTCCAAGATGGAGTCGGTGAGGAAGTCTTCGCAGGACTGTTTCCAGACGGCGTCTTCGGGAGGACGCAGAGAGGTGAAGTCCGGCCGATCAGCGGCTGAAGGCCGGACGTCGCGCTGCCGTTCGGTTTGTTCTGCATCGTCCAGCTTTGCCAAGAAAGAGCTGTCCTCCAGGATGCTGTCATAGTCTCCGAACAAATCCTCACTGTCGCTGCAGAACTGACGACAAAACACAGTCAGTGTACAAATAATGCAAGTTCAGACCTTTCAGACCTTTCAGACCTTTCAGACCACGGTGGAGGCAGATTAAAGGACCAGTGTTTACAGTTAACATCCCTGAGTGTATTTATGAACCACAGCAACGAGACATTTGATCATTAACAGTCATTAATGTGGAAGAACGAGAAGTTCCATCACAGCAGTTTCACTTTGAATCTAATAAACCAGTTTGAAGTTCATCCGACCAACAGTTGAGTTTCAAACTACATACGCAGTGAGCTTTACGTAATGTGGTGATCTGAGTGAGGAGCTGAAATACATTTTAATCACGTTCCAGGTTTTTCCATTATTGGAAAACTAGTCTTTAAATTTCCAGGTTTTGAGTGGAAACCCTGCAAAGCACCAACATTGGCTCTTTGTGGCCACCGTAGTTTCTCCTACACGCTTGTAAGGCTGAATGGTATTCAGTTGTGTGATGTGCATCCTCCACACTCGTCCTTTAATGTGATCAGACAGAGAAACAGGCTGTAAACATTCTCATTCAAACCTCAGCAGCTGGAATATCAGCCATGATGCTGAACCTCCAGTTGATGGGACATCCTCCTCCTCCTCCTCCTCCTCCTCCTCTCTTCCTCACAGGTGTCAGGTGACTCTTCAGGCTGACCCTTGACCTCTTCCTCGAGGAAACTCTCTTCACTTTGAAGTCTCGGCTCCCAGCATGCATTGCAGCCAGCTGTCACACCAACCGCCTGATGCTAACATGTTAAACAGGGTCAGCTAGCAAACACAAAGAACTACAGAAACACAAAGAACTACAGAATCAGCTGCTACACACCAGTTACCCTTTAAACCAGTGAGCCTGATAAACCTACCTATTTAAACTGTTAAACTAGCTCACTGCTGTAGTTTGACTCCCTAATTAATCTCCACAAACTCTACAAATTAATCACAAATGCCTGTAAAAATGTATAAAAGTATGTCGATGAAATAAGTTAATAATTTAAAGCTGCTCTGTTGCTAATCACTGATTTAAGATCGCGAGGAGGATTCAACGTCTCAGAGAGCCAACATTTAAAAACCGTCAACAGCAACGTCAGAGCAAGAGATAAATCCGCATTCACTTCCGTCTTCGCTTTACCGGTTAACAAGCTGGCAGAGCTAACGTAAACTGTTTAATTCCAAGATTGTTTCCTTATACTAGTAGTTATACTTAGTTCAGCCACCGTAAACTTTATATAAGTTATTTATTAATAATTACCACTATAACGATTTGCTTAATCGGCGCCATTGTCTACCACTTTATATGTTATCGTCCTTGTAGCGCGGTATAAAAGTGCGTAGCGTGTTACGGTGGGTTAAAAACGGTGACAGTTCATAGAGATGCCTTTAAAATAAATGTCACAAACGTTACTTAATGAGACGTTTTAAATATAATTAGTATCACTACTTTGCTAAAATAAGTAGCAAGATGTGCTAACGCTTCGCTTTCAGTTATTTCGGTGTTCTCTATCTTGTGTTCGTTGTATCTTTGAAGAGGGTAACGTTTCTTCTCTTCCGGAAACGTTAGATTTAAACCGTTAAATTACATTCACAACAAAAACAACAAAAACAACTCACATCACATATTTATTTATTATTTACAAATAAAGTTACATTTCACGTGTAATTGTCGGTTACCCCCCAATGTACGAATAGTAACTGTAGAAGAGGTAGGAACTAATAGTTATAAAACTCGGTGAAGCGCCGGAGTTGTTGGTGGACAACTTCCGGTCCTGTGTCAGGTCAAAATGTTGTCTTTGAGAGGATTTCAGAGGTTAAAACTCGTTTTATCGCCGCGAGGAAACACAAGTAAGGCTGCTTCAGTGTCTGTGTGAATGTTTAATAACGTTTATTAAAGAGAAATAAACCGCAGCGACTCGTTTTACGTTGAAAAGTTTGATTCGGTGATTTCCGGTTGCTAATGCTAACGTTAGCCTGCGAGCTAACGAGCTGTTTTTCTTCTTCTGCAGGTTTCAGAAGTTTAACAGAAACAAACAACCACAGAGCTGAGGTAGGTTCCGGTTCCGGTTCCGGTGCCGGTTCTGTTATTGATTATTATTTAATATATAATATTTATTTTGTCTCCAGATATACAAGCAACATCTATTAAGAACAAAATATAAATATAATTATATAAAAGATGAAATGTACCGATAAAACAACACGAAGAAAAGTATAATAATAATAATAAAACTCTAAAACAACGTGGTCAGGACTTCAGAGTTACAGTGAAGAAACAAGAACGAACAAAAGAGAATAAAAGTTAAGAAAGTTAAGACGGCTCCTGTGTGTTTATTGATGACTGCAGTAATGTGTGAGCGATGTGATTTCCTCTGCAGCTGGTAGAGATGGACAACCCGTTCAGAGAGCCGCAGAAAGGCTGCATCCTCTGCAGCGTCCCAGTGGACTACAAGAACATCCAGGTGAGCCCGTCGGGCCCCCGTAGATCTCAGACTGTGTCAGTGATTTATAGTGACGACGAGTCAGGAGCTGCAACTAACAGTTACTGTTATTGATTAGTGTCTTTCCTGGATTAATCCATTAGTTTGGATCCAGAAATGGTGAAATATGTTCGATGTTTCCCGAGCTGACGTCCTCTGGTGACACCACAGAAATATATTCAGTTTACAGTCGTAGAGGAATAAATCAACTGAAATCAGACGATTTGGACATTTTCTTCTTTAAAAACGACTCAAAACTATAAATTAATAATCACAATAGTTGACGGTCGATCAATGGACTAATCGTTGCAACAATAAATGATAAATAGCTGAAGTTGTAATAAATGTTTGGGCTCCATTATTAGACGTGTTTCAGTCAGAACATCACAGCGATGTGAACCTGTTGTGTAATCGTGTGTTGACTCTTCTTCCTCACAGCTGCTGACACAGTTCATCTCGCCGCACACGGGCAGGATTTATGGCCGACATATCACAGGTGAGCCGCCGATCGCTCCTCTTCCTGTTGGCAGCGTCGGTTTGATTTTAAGGATTGAATAAAGATTGTGTTTGTTTTTCAGGCCTGTGTGGAAGAAAACAAAAAGAAGTGTCCAGAGCGATAAAGAAAGCTCAGTCAATTGGTACGTGTCCATTAACCTGTAATACCTGCAGACACAGAAACTCATTAACCTGTTGGTTTTCTGTTTCTGCTAGAAATGAAAGAATATTAAAGACTGAACTGTTTGTCCTCCAGGTTTCATGTCGGTGACCCACAAACATCCACAGCTCATGAAGGACCCAAACATCTGTGCCATCAACCATCCGCATTAGTGTGTGTTTATTGAAGAGTCTCCTCCAGTTTCTGTTTCACAACTTATACAAAGAATAAACGTTTCAACTCTGCTCTGTTTCCTTCACTCTTTGGCTGAGCTGTATTCAGTTAGTTGCACACTGGTCCTTTAAATGTGTTTTGGGGAATATTCCATATTGATCGATTTTCCTTCTCTAAAATAAATCTAAATTATATTAATTACGGTCTGAAAGGTTCTCTGATTGAACCCGCTGACGGTGTCACAGATGGATGTGGGTTTATAATCGGGAATCTGTGGTTGCTGAGGCGACGGTCAGGTGACTGAACACCTCATCAGCTGTTAGTCCAAACACAGGAAGTTAGTGCAGCGACGGATCAGCTGAGGAAACCACAGAGGAAAATCTTCTCATGTTAAAGTTTAAAAAGTGCAGTAAAATAACATTTCTATTAAGTAAAATAACGACTGCGACTTTACCAAAAAGATCCTCTTTATCAGAACACAGGAACACTTTTAAACATGTCTCAAAATATATCCAATAGCTCTACATGCTCCCGGGTCAGAGCTGGGACATTAAAACCCGATGAGTGTGAATCAGGAGCTGCTCTTCCTGCGTTTGCTCTCCCTCACCGGCTGCGTTTCCTTCAGCCTCTTCCGAGAGTTCGTCCTGCCGGGATGCAGCAGGGAGAGCGTTTCCTGACTGTCTGTGGCGTCTGAGTGGACCGCCGTCGCCATGGAGACGTCCTCCTCGGCGCCCCGGTGGACGTCGGGAATCGGAAAACCCTCGAGTGTTAAAGTCTGAGTGTGGAAGAGAGGAGAGCAGGCGAACAGAGCTCTGACGGCCTCGTGGAGACGCAGGTTGTTCCTCTGCTCCGGTGGAGCTCCGTCAGAGGCTGCGGACAGAAACAGCGTTCATTAAACTGCAGCTGACAGCGCCACCAGTGGCCGCTCAGTGAACTGCAGTCAGCATCAGCCAACAGTGAAACACTGAACGCTGTAAAATAACAATCACATTTAGAATAACGTTACTATCTGCAATGTTCCTATATTTTATTTGGACCATTGACTCCATACTAATAACTAGACAACACCACGAAGCAA